AGCCGCACCCAATTTCTTAACCCCGGAGGCAGCCGCACCAATGTCTTTAACCCGGAGGGCAGCCGCACCAATGTCTTAACCCGGAAGGCAGCCCACCAATGTCTTAACCCGGAAGGCAGCCGCACCAATGTCTTAACCCGGGAAGGCAGCCGCACCAATGTCTTAACCCGGAAGGCAGCCGCACCAATGTCTTAACCCGGAAGGCAGCCGCACCAATGTCTAACCCGGAAGGCAGCCGCACCAATGTCTTAACCCGGAAGCCGCACCAATGTCTTAACCCGGAAGGCAGCCGCACCAATGTCTTAACCCGGAAGGCAGCCGCACCAATGTCTTAACCCGGAAGCCGCACCAATGTCTTAACCCGGAAGGCAGCCGCACCAATGTCTTAACCCGGAAGGCAGCCGCACCAATGTCTTAACCCGGAAGGCAGCCGCACCAATGTCTTAACCCGGAAGCCGCACCAATGTCTTAACCCGGAAGGCAGCCGCACCAATGTCTTAACCCGGAAGCCGCACCAATGTCTTAACCCGGAAGGCAGCCGCACCAATGTCTAACCCGGAAGGCAGCCGCACCAATGTCTTAACCCGGAAGCCGCACCAATGTCTTAACCCGGAAGGCAGCCCGCACCAATGTCTTAACCCGGAAGGCAGCCGCACCAATGTCTTAACCCGGAAGCCAGCCGCACCAATGTCTTAACCCGGAAGCCAGCCGCACCAATGTCTTAACCCGGAAGGCAGCCGCACCAATGTCTTAACCCGGAAGGCAGCCGCACCAATGTCTTAACCCGGAAGGCAGCCGCACCAATGTCTTAACCCGGAAGGCAGCCGCACCAATGTCTTAACCCGGAAGGCAGCCGCACCAATGTCTTAACCCGGAAGGCAGCCGCACCAATGTCTTAACCCGGAAGGCAGCCGCACCAATGTCTTAACCCGGAAGCCGCACCAACGTGTCGGGGGTAACGCCGTACAGCTGACGACCGAAGTCAGCGTGCAGGCGCCCGGGCCCCCCACAAGGAGTCTCTAGAGCGCAGTGGGATAAGGACATCCCAGTCCACATTGATACTGTATAAAGAAATAGCTCCCCTAAACCAGACGACGCTGGGCCAATTGGGCATTGCTTCATGGGTCTCCCGGTGGCGGCCGGCTGTGATACAGCCCGGGATCGAAAAAGGACCTGTAGTGACGCCTCTAGCACTGCGATGCTGTGCCTTAGACCGGTGCGCCACTCGGGAGGCCCAGTCCATACTATGAGTTATCAATGCAGTTTATTACGATATTTTCAGTGTTTTCAGCATCCAAATGAACTGTCTCATGTAGAACACTAATAATAAACACTTGTACATAACAGAAAAAACACACACAGCATTAACTCACAGTAGACACGTGAAACAGCACATTTCAATACTTTCAATTTCCATAAAAATAAACAGGAAGGGTGAAACAACAGAATGCCCCAGTTAAAACTAGCCCACAGTCTGTCCTGTAACCAATAACACCACGGCTGGTTCAAAATGAAGCAATAATAATGATGAACTGTGCGTCTCAAATGGCACCCTTATTCCCTATCTAGTGTACTACATGTAACCAGGGCACATAGGACTCTGGTCAAAAGTAGTGCACTATATAGGGAGTAGGGGTGCCGTTTGCAACGAAACCATCCCTGTTTATCCCACTGAAAATGCTGTGAGACTGCAAAAAAGGACCGACATCAAAACACCTGCTGTTGCAGAATGAGCAGCCCTAATGGTGTTGGACAAAAAACTCAGAGACACTCTCTGTGGAACTACCATGGGGAAATAATTAACTGTGAGGCACAGAAGCAAAATCATCGCCACCACCGCAATACAACAGTTGGGCTATTTCACTATACAGTATAAAGTGTGTGTGTGTGTGTGTGTGTGTGTGTGTGTGTGTGTGTGTGTGTGTGTGTGTGTGTATTACAGTTGAGATACACAGTATCAATGTGGACACCATTTTGATTTTCTCTACTCAGCCATGCACTGAGGTGCTGAAACTAGGCCGGGGAACACACATGCCTCAATCGTTCAAATCAATCGTTGAACTGTCATGACATGGAAGCTTTTAAACTAGCCATGAATAACCCATTTGCTGCATGTGAGTCAATGAATCAATTTACCCACATGGCTCTCTCAACACTGACACCCAACCTCAGTGTTGGGAGGGAGGGAGGGAGGGAGAGAGAGGGAGAGAGAGGGAGAGAGAGAGAGAGAGAGAGAGAGAGAGAGAGAGAGAGAGAGAGAGAGAGAGAGAGAGAGGAGAGAGAGAGAGAGAGAGAGAGAGAGAGAGAGAGAGAGACATAATGTAAGTCTGTAAATAAACACATCCATGTAGCATTGTGTTGTGTGACTGTAGAACCCCTAATAAACCCATCCACGTAGCATTGTGTTGTGTGACTGTAGAACCCCTAATAAACACATCCACGTAGCATTGTGTTGTGTGACTGTAGAACCCCTAATAAACACATCCACGTAGCATTGTGTTGTGTGACTGTAGAACCCCTAATAAACACATCCATGTAGCATTGTGTTGTGTGACTGCTGGCTGATCCAGTGAGTTCCTGTTCTTAGCGGGGAATGCCAAACAGACCAATCAATTATTCTCGCTAAAGAACAACAGAGAGCTGCATCCTCTTAAACCTCTCCACATTATCCCAGGCTAGAAACTTTCAGGACAACAGCTGAGGTAGTTGCAATTGAAACAGACCTGGATGGAAATGGAGTCTTAAGGGCCTGAGAGTGAGTGATGAAATGGAGTCTTAAGGACCTGAGAGTGAGTGATGAAATGGAGTCTTAAGGGCCTGAGAGTGAGTGATGAAATGGAGTGGAGTCTTAAGGGCCTGAGAGTGAGTGATGAAATGGAGTCTTATGGGCCTGAGAGTGAGTGATGAAATGGAGTCTTAAGGGCCTGAGAGTGAGTGATGAAATGGAGTCTTAAGGACCTGAGAGTGAGTGATGAAATGGAGTGGAGTCTTAAGAGCCTGAGAGTGAGTGATGAAATGGAGTGAGGCCTTAAGGGCCTGAGAGTGAGTGATGAAAGGGAGTCTTAAGGACCTGAGAGTGAGTGATGAAATGGAGTGGAGTCTTAAGGGCCTGAGAGTGAGTGATGAAATTGAGTCTTAAGGAACTGAGAGTGAGTGATGAAATGGAGTGGCGTCTTAAGGGCCTGAGAGTGAGTGATGAAATGGAGTCTTAAGGACCTGAGCGTGAGTGATGAAATGGAGTCTTAAGAGCCTGAGAGTGAGTGATGAAATGGAGTGAGGCCTTAAGGGCCTGAGAGTGAGTGATGAAATGGAGTCTTAAGGACCTGCAAGTGAGTGATGAAATGGAATGGAGTCTTAAGGGTCTGAGAGTGAGTGATGAAATTGAGTCTTAAGGACCTGAGAGTGAGTGATGAAATGGAGTGGCGTCTTAAGGGCCTGAGAGTGAGTGATGAAATTGAGTCTTAAGGACCTGAGCGTGAGTGATGAAATTGAGTCTTAAGAGCCTGAGAGTGAGTGATGAAATGGAGTGAGGCCTTAAGGGCCTGAGAGTGAGTGATGAAATGGAGTCTTAAGGACCTGAGAGTGAGTGGTGAAATGGAGTGGAGTCTTAAGTGCCTGAGAGTGAGTGATGAAATTGAGTCTTAAGGACCTGAGAGTGAGTGATGAAATGGAGTGAGGCCTTAAGGGCCTGAGAGTGAGTGATGAAATTGAGTCTTAAGGACCTGAGCGTGAGTGATGAAATTGAGTCTTAAGAGCCTGAGCGTGAGTGATGAAATGGAGTGAGGCCTTAAGGGCCTGAGAGTGAGTGATGAAATTGAGTCTTAAGGACCTGAGAGTGAGTGATGAAATGGAGTGAGGCCTTAAGGGGCTGAGAGTAAGTGATGAAATGGAGTCTTAAGAGCCTGAGAGTGAGTGATGAAATGGAGTGAGGTCTTAAGAGCCTGAGAGTGAGTGATGAAATGGAGTCTTAAGGACCTGAGCGTGAGTGATAAATAGAGTGGAGTCTTAAGGACCTGACAGTGATTGATATTGAACAAGTAAGTGGTTAGGGGAATTGGACCTTAAGAAAATAATGATTTAACTTTTGTACACTGCATAACATAATGCCCTCTGAACTCTGCAGCCTGCCTTCAGCTGCCTTCAGCTTTTCAACTCCATTATAAGCAATCAACCATTTTATTAATGGTGAAAATTATAATGGTAGTAATATTAAAACATATAATGAACTGACTAAATGACTTGATAAAGTAAAATACAAAATAAAGACTATGTAAACACATACTGTACTGTTACAAGCGCCGTGCTCTACCAATTGAGCTACAGAGGACCGTACGTTCTGCCCTGCGTGCTCGTGCTCAAATCATTTTGATGCACTATGAGAGAAAGAGGCGACAATGGGCAGAACATGTTTGTGCTCTACAGATGTTTTGTCTTTTCTTTTGAATGCAGAGAGAGAATTCTGATTCATTAAAACAGCCTGATCTCCGAAAGTCCACGTCTATAGTCCCGATCAATCACACAAAACGCAGAGATACAGCCGTGCAGCACAGCGCCGGTTACACAGGCAACAGAAAACAGTGAGATCTGAGCAAATCGAGCTCACATTTTAGTCTAGAAGAATACGATTGCTTCTTCAAGATCCTATCGCAATTCAAGGAATGCTAAGCCTATTTTCCTGCTTTCAGAGTAAAACAAACAACGTCTGCAAATCTGGAATTTGGACCGTGATCGTTAAAAAGGGTACACACTGAAATCAAAACGTGGCCAATGTTTTTGTGTTCTGTCCAGCTGATATGCTTATTCTACTGCAAGGCTTACAGTAGTTACAAATAGCCCCATATTCCCTATAGAGGGCACTAGTTTTGACCATGACCCAAAGAGGAAAGGGTGCCATTTGGGACATGGCGCTATACAGACCTGTGTGGAAGTGTCACATGAGAGGGAGGGAGAAGTATATGTCTGCAAGATGAGGAGGTAGCTCTTCAGGGAGATCGTTGACGATGATGGTGTGACTTCATCTGAATTATTATTATTATTATTATTATTATTATTATTATTATTATTGTTATTATTTTTAAAAAAATTTTTGGGGGGGGTAGATCAGCTTAATATTGCAGATAGATTGTAACTTCCATCAATGTAATTGTCTGCATCACTTCCAATCCCCCATGTTTTTTATATATATACTCCCCTTTATTACTTTTCAACCCCGCCATCCTTTCCCTATCAAATCAAATCAAATCAAATTGTATTGGTCACATGCGCCGACTACAACAGGTGCAGACATTACAGTGAAATGCTTACTTACAGCCCTTAACCAACAGTGCATTTATTTTAAACAAAAAGTAAAAATAAAACAACAACAACAAAAAAAGTGTTGAGAAAAAAAAGAGCAGAAGTAAAATAAAGTGACAGTAGGGAGGCTATATATACAGGGGGGTACCGTTGCAGAGTCAATGTGCGGGGGCACCGGCTAGTTGAGGTAGTTGAAGTAATATGTACATGTGGGTAGAGTTAAAGTGACTATGCATAAATACTTAACAGAGTAGCAGCAGCGTAAAAAGGATGGGGTGGGGGGGCAGTGCAAATAGTCCGGGTAGCCATGATTAGCTGTTCAGGAGACTTATGGCTTGGGGGTAGAAGCTGTTCCCTACTTGGGGTAAACTAGTGAACAACAATGCTTAGGCCTCTACTTCCAGCTTATACTTACTATCTACATTTTATGGACACAGTCAATTTTACAATAATTATATTTTGTTTGTTTTTTCTCCTGAACTTCTTCTACTCTCAACCCCTCCGATCATTTTCACGATGTCCATCCGGCCTGCCTCTACACGCCATATCTTTCTAACTGTGCTCTTTCCCAAAAGCTCCCAACATACAACCTCTATACTTATTATGGACACAGTATGCAAGTATCATCTGAATAATTAACATCAAAGTACATCAGCTGCCAACAGAATCTTTTTGAACTCTGCTGTTTCACAGTAGCTGAGGAGAAGATCCAGCTTTTGTCACTGTCAGAGTAGTGATACCTCCGACTTGATGTCACTGTCAGAGTAGTGGCACCTCCGACTTGATGGGGGCCGACTTTCAGTAGTGGCACCTCCGACTTGATGTCACTGTCAGAGTAGTGGCACCTCCGACTTGATGTCACTGTCAGAGTAGTGGCACCTCCGACTTGATGTCACCGTCAGAGTAGTGGCACCTCCGACTTGATGTCACCGTCAGAGTAGTGGCACCTCCGACTAGATGTGTGTGACAGATGAACCTTGATTACATTGGGATACGATATCATATGCCCTTTTTTTTTTTATGCGTGGGAATACTTGGGAAATGTTGAGCTAATTTCCTGGTGATTTTAGAGTCTTTTAATGTCTAAGAACTCAAATAAAATATATTATTTTGTAAATAAAACATCTGTTTGGGGAATCCTGGCCTACATATTTCTGGGATCAAATATGAAATAAAAGAATATATCTGATTCTGTTCCACATTCACTCCAGTGATACTATTCATCACTGTATAGAGAGTGGGGCGGCAGGTAGCTTAGTGGGTAAGAGCGTTGTGCCAGTAACCGAAAGGTCGCTGGTTCTAATCCCCGAGCCGACTAGGTGAAAAATCTGTCGATGTGCGCTTGAGCAAGGCACTTAACCCTAATTGCTTCTGTAAGTCGCTCTGGATAAGAGCGTCTGCTAAATGACGTAAATGTAAAATGAGAGTTTATGTCGCGATCGTTTATGGAAGATACAGACCAAGGCGCAGCGTGATAAGCGTACATTTTATTAAGTACTTAACTCACGACAAAACAACAAACAAACGATACGTGAAGTCCTAGGTTACCAAAACAAACCTTAACAGAACAAGATCCCACAAACTAACTGGTGCCAACAGGCTGCCTAAGTATGGGTCCCCAATCAGAGACAACGAGCTACAGCTGCCTCTGATTGGGAACCACCCTGGCCAACATAGATCCAACACGATCTAGAAACTAACATCGAAAATATAACATAGAAACTCCACACCCTGGCTCAACATTTAAGAGTCCCCAGAGCCAGGGCGTGACAGTATATATCTCCCATCTTGTCACATTTTAAAGTGGCTGATCCCTTCCCTACTGTGCCTGGGCAGACCCTCAGGATTATACAGCAGTATCTAATCCTCTCATTGGTCTGGGAGGAGATATCACAGTCTCACCCTGAGTTCCTCTCAACCTCTCCAACGTCTCCTAGCATTCACAGTGGAAGTTCTGAAGTGGTGTGTGTGTGTGTGTGTGTGTGGTGTGTGTGTGTGTGTGTGTGTGTGTGTGTGTGTGTGCGTGTGTGTGTGTGCGTGTGTGTGCGTGCGTGCGTGTGTGTGTGTGGAAACAGTCAGGTGTCTGTCATCCTGTAGATGTGAGTACCCTCTTCCAGCTAGGTGCTGACTCTAAGCACTAACCCTTAACTGGCCCTGTGCCATGATATAATGATGAAAATGCCAAGTGGAGGCAGTGGAGTGTTTGGTGGGATTCTTATAGGAAATTCAAGCCTGAATTAAGCCAGTGAGGCAATTATCACTGTCTGGAAACCAAGTATGAACCCTCTCCTCTCCTCTCCTCTCCTCTCCTCTCCATCTCCTCTCCTCTCCTCTCCTCTCCTCTCCTCTCCTCTCCTCTCCTCTCCTCTCCCTCCTCAGAAAGTCCATATTTTACTCCGCTGGTCACAATGCTTTAGAGGTAACAAGATGGTTGATTGATCACAACCTGCCAATGCTTGATCCTACCCGCGTTCAGCTGAACCTACCCGCATTCAGCTGATCCTACCTCCCCCATGTTCAGTTTAAACCCTACCCGTGTTCAGCTGATCCTGACCCCCCCCCCCCATGTTCAGCTGATCCATACCCCCCCCATGGTTCCATCTGGAACCTACCCCGTGTTTCAGCTGACTCCTACCCCCCCCCCCCATGTTTAGCCTGATCCTACCTAAACCTACCCCCCCCATGGTTCAGCCTGATCCTACCCCCCCCCCATGTTCAGCTGAAACCTACCGTGTTCAGCTGATCCTACCCCCCCCCCATGTTCAGCTGATCCTACCCCCCCCCCCATGTTCAGCTGAACCTACCCGTGTTCAGCTGATCCTACCCCCCCCCCCATGTTTCAGCTGAACCTACCCGTGTTCAGCTGATCCCTACCCCCCCCCCATGTTCAGCTGAACCTACCCGTGTTCAGCTGAGCCTACCCGTGTTCAGCCTCACCTACCCGTGTTCAGCTGATCCTACCCCCCCATGTTCAGTTAAACCTACCCGCGTTCAGCTGTCCCTACCCGTGTTCAGCTGTACCTACCCGTGTTCAGCTGATCCTACCCCCCCCCATGTTCAGCTGATCCTACCCCCCCCCATGTTCAGCTGAACCTACCGTGTTCAGCTGATCCTACCCCCCCCCCCCCCATGTTCAGCTGAACCTACCCGTGTTCAGCTGATCCTACCCCCCCCCATGTTCAGCTAAACCTACCCGTGTTCAGCTGTGCCTACCCGTGTTCAGCTGTACCTACCCGTGTTCAGCGGTGCCTACCCGTGTTCAGCTGTACCTACCCGTGTTCAGCTGATCCTACCCCCCCATGTTCAGTTAAACCTACCCGTGTTCCGCTGATCCTACCCGTGTTCAGCTGATCCTACCCGTGTTCAGCTGAACCTACCCGTGTTCCGCTTGATATCACTGACTGCTGTGGCTGTCCAGTAAGAGCACCTTGAGTAACAGAACACAATCTGATTGGCTTTAGCTCAGCCAATGAGTGAGTCCTGTCTAGTCTCTGGGGTAAGTTAGACGGCTGCTGCGTCATTTTCAAAGTTAAAAAGCTGTGGAGTTCACATGGAACAGTAGTGTGGCTCACAAGGGTTTTCGAAAATAGACGTTCGACTTGGTATTGTGTCTCGTCCAACTGATGCTCCTTTATCCTGAAGCATCTTAACCCTGCTGTGCAGCAGGAGAGAACAGAATCTCAGAACAGAATGTTAGAATGTTTCACGATGTCAAGTGACAGTTCCATATCCATATCCACTGATACAGACTAAAAGCAGCATGTGTCTGTCCGCCTGTCACTCTGTAATAACTTCAGATACAATGACCTCTGTCAAATCGCTGCACTCAAATCAAATCGAATCACATTTTATTTGTCACATGCCACCGATGACAACAGGTGTAGACCTCAACAGTGAAATAATTACTTACAAGCCATTAACCAACAATGCAGTTTTTAAGAAAAATAAGTGTTAAGTAAAAAACTAGATCACTCAAAAATAGTTAGTCGAGGTAATTGAGGTAGTATGTACATGTAGGTAGAGTTATTAAAGTGACTATGCATAGATAATAAACAGAGAGTAGCAGCAGCATAAAATAGGGGGTGGGAGGGAACAATGGAAATAGTCTGGGTGGCCATTTGATTAGAGGTTCAGTAGTCTTATGGCTTGGGGGTAGAAGCTGTTAAGAAGCCTTTTGGACCTAGACTAGACGCTCCGGTACCACTTGCCGTGCGGTAGCAGAGAGAACAGTCTATGACTAGGGTGGCTGGATTCTTTGACAATTTTTAGGGCCTTCCTCTGACACCACCTGGTATAGAGGTCCTGGATGGCAGGAAGCTTGGCCTCAGTGTACTGGGCCGTACGCACTACCCTCTGTAGTGCCTTGCGGTCGGAGGCCAAGCAGTTGCCACACCAGGCGGTGATGCAACCAGTCAGGATGCTCTTGACGTTGCAGCTGTAGAACATTTTGAGGATCTGAGGACACATGCCAAATCATTTCAGTCTCCTGAGGGGGAATAGGCTTTGTCATTTCCTCTTCACGACTGTCTTGGTGTGTCTGGACCATGATAGTTTGTTGGTCATGTGGACACCAAGGAACTTGAAGCTCTCAACCTGCTCCACTACAGCCCTTTTGGTGAGAATGGGGGCGTGCTCGGTCCTCTTCTTTTTCCTGTAGTCCACAATCATCTCCTTTGTCTTGATCACGTTGAGGGAGACGTTTGTTATCCTGGCACCCACACGACCAGGTCTCTGACCTCCTCCCTATAGGCTGTTTCATCATTGTCGGTGATCAGGCCTACCACTGTTGTGTTGTCGGCAAACTTAATGATGGTGTAGTGTATTAGGATTATGTCTTTGTTAATGGTTTTTAAGTGGAACTGAAAGAATGTTTATCTTAGTTCAAAAGTAGCCATTTGTAGGGTGACGCCCCAGGGGAGACAGGTGATTGGACGGCAGAGGGAGCAACCCATATTTTTACATTGTTTATAAGTATGGGCTAGACGAAGAAGAAAGCAGAGCGACCATTGCAATCGGGGGCGTCGCTCTCCGGATGTCATGACATCTGTAAAACTTATGCTGAAAGCTTGTGATATGAATAAACTTATGATCAAGGTTCAGTATGAGCGGACTCCTTTGTTTGACAGCAATAATTGCCAGCATTTACTCGATACGACAAATGGCGCCCAACGTGGGGCTGGTCTGCAAATCTTCTTTGTTTCATTCGTTGCCGCCAAGCTAACTCGTTCTGAAGTCACGGCCAGAAAAGGGTGAGTGTTTCTCACAGCTTTGGAAGTTTGTTAGTTTGGATGCTATGTGATTGTGCACTGGAGAAATGTACCATTAGGACCCGACAATGTGCCTCGTGTGGCGTTATTGCTGTCGACTAGGGGTCTGTAATAATTATTCTAAAATTTGGTTTAATTGGGTAAACGGCAAATAATAGGAAGTCTAGAGCAATCGATGGTAGGGATTAAGGCAGATATTGGCAGATGTACAAGGCAGAGATACGTATCATTAGGGCACTGACCATTAAAACCCCCGGGGGGGCCATCCGGGGGAACGTTTTCAGCTGTAACTACCCGTGTTCAGCTGATCCTACCCCCCATGTTCAGTTAAACCATAACCCGTGTTCAGCTGTACCTACCCGTGTTCGCTGATCCTACCCGTGTTCAAGCTGAGCCTACCCGTGATCAGCTGATCCTACCCGTGTGCATAGCTGAACCTACCTACCCGTTTCCGCTGATCCTACCCGTGTTTCAGCTGAACCTACCCGTGTTCTCCGCTGATCCTTACACCCGTGTTTCACTGATCCTACCCATGTTTCAGCGGAGCTACCCGTGTCAGCTTGATATCACTGCCTGCTGTGGCTGTCCGTAAGACAAACCTTGAGTAACAAGAACACAATCTGATTGGCTTTAGCTCAGCCAATGAGTGAGTCCTGCCTAGTCTCTGGGGTAAGATAGACGGCTGCTGCGTCATTTTCAAAGTTAAAAAGCTGTGGAGTTCAAATGGAACAGTAGTGTGGCTCACAAGGGTTTTCGAAAATAGATGTTCGACTTGGTATTGTGTCTCGTCCAACTGATGCTCTTATCCTGAAGCATCTTAACCCTGCTGTGCCAGCAGGAGAGAAACAGAATCTCAGAACAGAATGTTAGAATGTTTCACGATGTCATGTGACAGTTCCATATCCATATCCACTGATACAGACTAAAAGCAGCATGTGTCTGTCCGCCTGTCACTCTGTAATAACTTCAGATACAATGACCTCTGTCAAATCGCTGCACTCAAATCAAATCGAATCACATTTTATTTGTCACATGCCACCGATGACAACAGGTGTAGACCTCAACAGTGAAATAATTACTTACAAGCCATTAACCAACAATGCAGTTTTTAAGAAAAATAAGTGTTAAGTAAAAAACTAGATCACTAAAAAATAGTTAGTCGAGGTAATTGAGGTAGTATGTACATGTAGGTAGAGTTAAAGTGACTATGCATAGATAATAAACAGAGAGTAGCAGCAGCATAAAATAGGGGGTGGGAGGGAACAATGGAAATAGTCTGGGTAGCCATTTGATTAGCGGTTCAGTAGTCTTATGGCTTGGGAGTAGAAGCTGTTAAGAAGCCTTTTGGACCTAGACTTGGCGCTCCGGTACCACTTGCCGTGCGGTAGCAGAGAGAACAGTCTATGACTTGGGTGGCTGTATTCTTTGACAATTTTTAGGGCCTTCCTCTGACACCACCTGGTATAGAGGTCCTGCATGGCAGGAAGCTTGGCCTCAGTGTACTGGGCCGTACGCACTACCCTCTGTAGTGCCTTGCGGTCGGAGGCCGAGCAGTTGCCACACCAGGCGGTGATGCAACCAGTCAGGATGCTCTTGATGGTGCAGCTGTAGAACATTTTGAGGATCTGAGGACATATGCCAAATCTTTTCAGTCTCCTGAGGGGGAATAGGCTTTGTCATTTCCTCTTCACGACTGTCTTGGTGTGTTTGGACCATGATAGTTCGTTGGTGATGTGGACACCAAGGAACTTGAAGCTCTCAACCTGCTCCACTACAGCCCTGTCGATGAGAATGGGGGCGTGCTCGGTCCTCTTCTTTTTCCTGTAGTCCACAATCATCTCCTTTGTCTTGATCACGTTGAGGGAGACGTTGTTATCCTGGCACCACACGACCAGGTCTCTGACCTCCTCCCTATAGGCTGTTTCATCATTGTCGGTGATCCGGCCTACCACTGTTGTGTTGTCGGCAAACTTAATGATGGTTTTGGAGTCGTGCCTGGCCATGCACTCATGGGTGACCAGGGAGTACAGGAAGGGACTGAGCACGCACCCCTGAGGGGCCCCCGTGTTGAGGATCAGCGTGGCAGATGTGTTGTTACATACCCTTACCACCTGGGGGCGGCCCGTCAGAAAGTCCAGGATCCAGTTGCAGAGGGAGGTGTTTAGTCCCAGGGTCCTTAGCTTAGTGATGAACTTGAGGGCACTATGGTGTTGAACGCTGAGCTGTAGTCTAATTTTAAATTTAATTTAATATGCCATTTAGCAGACGCTTTTATCCAAAGCGACTTACAGTCATGCGTGCATAATTTTTTTTTGTGTATGGTCAATGAATAGCATTCTCACGTAGGTGTTCCTTTTGTCCAGGTGGGAAAGGGCAGTGTGGAGTGCAATAGAGATTGCATTATCTGTGGATCTGTTGGGGCGGTATGCAAATTGGAGTGGGTCTAGGGTTTCTGGGATAATGGTGTTGATGTGAGCAATGACCAGCTTTTCAAAGCACTTCATGGCTACAGACGTGAGTGCTACGGGTCGGTAGTAATTTAGGCAGGTTACCTAAGTGTTCTTGGGCACAGGGACTATGGTGGTCTGCTTGAAACATGTTGGTATTACAGACTCAGACAGGGAGAGTTTGAAAATGTAAATGAAGACACTTGCCAGTTGGTCAACGCATGCTCGGAGTACACGTCCTGGTAATCCGTCCGGCCCTGCGGCCTTGTGAATGTTGACCTGTTTAAAGGTCTTACTCACATCGGCTACGGACACCGTGATCACACAGTCATACGGAACAGCTGATGCTCTCATGCATGCTTCAGTGTTGCTTGCTTCGAAGCTAGCACATAAGTAATTTAGCTCCTCTGGTAGGCTTGTGTCACTGGGCAGCTCATGGGTGTGCTTCCCTTTGTAGTCTGTAATAATTTTCAAGCCCTGCCACATCCGACGAGCGTCGGAGCTGGTGTAGTACGATGCAACCTTAGTCCTGTATTGATGCTTTGCCTGTTTGATGGTTCGTCGGAGGGCATTGCGGGATTTCTTATAAACGTCAGGGTTCCTTGAAAGCGGCAGCACTACCCTTTAGCTCAGTGCAGATGTTGCCTGTAATCCATGGCTTCTGGTTGGGGTATGTACGTACAGTCACTGTGGAGACAACATCATCGATGCACTTATTGATGAAGCCAGTGACTGATGTGATGTACTCTTCAATGCCATCGGAAGAATCCCAGAACATATTCCAGTCTGTGCTAGCAAAACAGTCCTGAAGCTTAGCGTCTGCTTCATCTGAACACTTTTTTATTGACCGAGTCACTGGTGCTTCCTGCTTTAGTTTTTGCTTGTAAGCAGGAGTAAGGAGGATAGAGCTATGCTCAGATTTTCCATATGGAGGGCGAGGTAGAGCTTTGTACGCGCCTCTGTGTGTGGAGTAAAGGTGGTCTAGAGTTTTTTCCCCCTCTGGTTGCACATTTAACATGCTGGTAGAAATGAGGTAAAATTGATTTAAGTTTCCCTGCATTAAAGTCCCCGGCCTCTGGATGAGCGTTTTCCTGTTTGCTTTTTGCCTTATACAGCTCATTGAGTGCGGTCTTAGTGCCAGCATCGGTTTGTGGTGGTAAATAGACAGCTATGAAAAATATAGATGAAAACTCTCTTGGTAAATAGCGTGGTCTACAGCTTATCATGAGATACTCTACCTCAGCTGAGCAAAACCTTGAGACTTCCTTAATATTAGATTTTGTGCACCAGCTGTTGTTTACAAATATACACAGACCACCACCCCTTGTCTTACCGGAGTCAGCTGTTCTATCCTGCCGATGCAGCGTATATCCTGGCAGCTGTATGTTATCCATGTCGTCGATCAGCCACGACTCGATGAAACATAAGATATTAGAATTTGTAATGTCCCGTTGGTAGATTCAGTTAGTTTTTATGTTTGGGATTCAGTTAGTTTTCATGTTTGGGATTCAGTTAGTTTTTATGTTTGGGATTCAGTTCGTTTTTATGTTTGGGATTCAGTTAGTTTTTATGTTTGGGATTCAGTTCGTTTTTATGTTTGGGATTCAGTTAGTTTTCATGTTTGGGATTCAGTTAGTTTTCATGTTTGGGATTAAGTTAGTTTTTATGTTTGGGATTCAGTTAGTTTTCATGTTTGGGATTCAGTTAGTTTTCATGTTTGGGATTCAGTTAGTTTTTATGTTTGGGATTCAGTTAGTTTTCATGTTTGGGATTCAGTTAGTTTTCATGTTTGGGATTCAGTTAGTGTTTATGTTTGCTTGTTGCACCCTCTAGTGTATTTCTTCATCATCAGAATCCTTCCATTTGTGAGCTGATGCCTCAACACGAGCAGTACAACTTTCTTTCCACAGGGGGGAAGTAAAAACCTAAGTAGCTCAGAGAACTAGTGGAAAAGTCACGTACACATGTCCAGTGACCTATATTCCATACTGATGGGATTTAAGACAGAAAAAAATAAACTTCCACACTATTCCACTCCTACATGTTGTACTGGACATGCCTCCAGAGCTACGTCCCACATGGCAAATGGGTTGTAGTGCACTATAGAGGGCATAGGGGTTGATTTGGGACACATCCCAGATCTGATTAGAAGACAGGTTCTGTATTGGGACTGGGGTGTTACTATAACGACATGGCGGAAGAACGTTGGTTAGCGACATCATCATAAGATTTGAATGTAGTTTCCATTTATAATTTTACCTTTTCACATTTAATTCGAACATCAAATGTAGTTGATCAACAGGCTGGTTGAGATGTAGCTCTCTGCCCCACAGAGTCTGATTGTAGTTGATCAACAGGCTGGTTTCAGATCTAGCTCTCTGCCACAGAGTCTGATTGGGAAGAGGTGAGACAAGAGTCCTTCTAAAGACCTTGGGTTGCATTCCAGATGTCACCAAATGGCACCAATAGGGCTCAAATGTAGTTCCCTAAACTACGGAATAGGGTGCCTGAGTCAACTCAGTAGCACAGACAGACAGGGTAGTCTATCTGTGATGTTATGAGGTGAGAGAGACTACCACACAGACAGACAGGGTAGTCTATCTGTGATGTTATGAGGTGAGAGAGACTACCACACAGACAGACAGGGTAGTCTATCTGTGATGTTATGAGGTGAGTCAGGGTAGTCTATCTGTGATGTAAGTTATGATCCTGTCACCTCAGTAGTGGGGTAATTTAGTCCTGTCACCTCAGTAGTGAGGGTAATGTTATGGTCCTGTCACCTCAGTATGAGGGGTTTAATGTATGGTCCGTCACCTCAGTATGAGGGGTAATAGTTATGGTCCTGGCACCTCAGTATGAGGTGGTAATGTTATGGTCCTGTTCACCTCAGGTGAGGGGTAATGTTATGGTCCTGGCACCTCATATGTGGGGGAAGTTATGGTCCTGTTTACCCCCCAGGTTTTGGGGGGGTAAAAATTTTTGGTCCTGTCAATCAGTATTGGGGGGGAAAGTTAGGTCTGTCACCCAGTAAGAAGGGTTTAAAGTTATGGGGCCCGTCACCCCCCAAGTTATTGGGGGGGTAATGGTTTTGGTTTTTGTCACCCCAGTATTTGGGGGGGAAGTTATGGTCCCGACCCCAGATGAGGGGTAAGTTATGGTCCTGTCACCCCCGTATGAGGGGTAAGTTTTTGGTCCGGGCAACCCCAGTAGAGGGGTAAAAGTTATGGTCCGTAACCCCAGTATGTGGGGGGTAATGTTATGGTCCTGTCCCCCTCAGTATGTGGGGGGTAAAGTTATGGTTGTAAAAGAAATAGGGGGGGTTTTGGGGAACAGGCAGGGAAAAGGGGCCCCCGGGAGAAGGGGAAGGGTGGGAGGGAGAGGGGAATAGAGGGAAAAAGGGGAGGGAGGGGGGGGAGGGGTAGAGAGAGAGAGAAGAGAGAGAGAAAAGGAAAAAGGGGTGGGGGGAGAGAAGGGGGGTTTTTTCCCCGGGGGGGCCAAATTTTTTAATTAAACCTTCTCCCAATTTAAATTATAAACTTCTATTTTCTTTCTCATCTTTTGTAAATTTCCCCCTTTGTCTCTCTTTAAATCTCTCCCCAATGTCTATAATGACTGCTTTTGCCCAAGGCTGGGGGACCAGGGGGGTGGGGTTTTTTCAGGACAGGGGCAGGGATTTCAAAAAACCTTTCTACACATAACTGGGGAAAGGGGGCAATGGAAAAAGGTTCGGGCGAGGGGCCAAGAGGAGAGGGGGAGAAAAGAGAGAGAAGGAAATTTGAGAGAAAAAAGGAAAAGAGAGGATGAAAAGATTTTTAAAAATTGATTTATATCTTCTTGCCATTAAATCTTTTTTTTTCTTATATTCCTTTAAAACTTAAAATAGATATTTTTCCCGTTATATCTATTTTATTCTATTCTATAGCTTCTATCTAGATATATATACTCGGTCTAGATACTCTGGCGATAGCGCTTTAGTCTCTCTTCTCTCTATATCTCTCTTGATATTATCTTATCTCTCGATTCTCTCTCTCTCATATCTTATAATATATATATTGTGTCTCTATCTCTGTCTTTCCTCTCACTTTCTCATCGCTCTGTCTTCTCTCTCACTGTCTCACTGTCCTCTTGTCTCTCTCTCAGTCTCTCTCTATATATTCTCTAATCTCTCTCTTTGTCTCCCTCTCTCTTCTCTCTCTCTTGTCTCTCTCTCTGTTCTTTCTCTCACTTGTCTTCTCTCTTTTCTCTCCTATCTGTCTCTCTCTGTCTCTCTCTCTCTGTCTCTCTCACCCTCTCTCTCTCTATCTGTCCTCTCTCTTTCGCCTCTCTCTGTCTCTCTCTCTCTCTCTGCCTCTCTCTCTGTCTCTCTCTCTCTCTGTCTCTCTCGCTGTTCTTTCTCTCTGTGTCTCTCTCACTCTGTCTCTCTTCTCGTGTTATTGTCCTCTTCTCATAATAATAATATTGTGATGCAGCAGCTGAGAGAGCAGAAAGAGGAGGGCCAGTCGTTTACCAATCATAAGGGTTTCCCCACCTCCTTCCTTCCTTCCCTCCCTCCCTCCCTCCCTCCCTCTGTCTCTAAGCACGCAAAAAAAAAGAAGTGATAAGCAGCTTTGAAACGCATTCCCGCTGAATCAGACACAGACAGCACAGCATTGGCTAGCTCTCTCTCCCCCACAGCACAGAAGCCAGCGAGTGTCTCAAAACCAAACCAAACAAAGCCTTATTAACGTGATGAGAGGGATACTCAGGGAGGCTCAGGGAGACTCAGGGAGACACGACTGACAGCCTACTCTCAGGGAAGAGGAGGAAGCTGGGGGACTTGACTTCCCAATACTCCGATCAAGTGCACCCGGAGGGAGGCAATCCTTCCCTCTGCATACGCTGAGGAACACACCCTACACACTACACCCTACACCCTACACACTCCTGCTGTGGAGCTCTGTACTCGTCTCTCCAGTCCCTCAAGGTGTGCTGCTGACCTGACTGCCTGGTCTGCTGTCATCATGTCAGACGGAGAGGAGTGTCGCTCTCCCATCGGTCTGGACTGCTGCTCCTGCTGCCTGGACCTGGCCAACTGCGACGACCCAGCTGGAGGTGGGGGCCAGGGCAGAGGCCCCAGCACCCCACTGATGGGCAGCCCCACGTCGCTCAGCCACTTCCGCCGGTTCCGGGAGCAGCTGACGTTCCAGAACCAGAACGTGAACACGGACAAGCTGAACAGCATGATGAGGCTGGACTCTCTGGAGTCGGTGGTCAGGGACCCCTGCTACCTGCTCAACGAGGGCATCTGCAACAGCAACATCGACCGGACCATGCTGTCCATCCTGCTGTTCTTCCACAGGTACTGTACTTCACCCCTGTCTCCCGTCCTCCTCCGGATTTCCACCTCACGTTGTCATGTCATTCTGAGGTTGCGTCTCCACCTCGATTTCATCCTGTTAAATTGCTGATACGTGGTACACCTCACAACATCTCTACCTTCACATTATCTCACTCATTACAGTGGGATTATTACTGTGTCATTATTATTGTAATTACTGTACAATGTAATAATTATTGTGATTGCTCATTGTTATATTGTGCTTACAGCAGTAATCCTAACTGGCCCTATGCCTTGCCATAACCCTAAGTACAGTGTAAGTGCAATGTAACAATGAGCAACCTCAATACTGTCACTGTACTTACAGAAACAGTAATAATCCTTCGATACTGTCACTGTCCTTAAAGAAACAGTAATAGTCCTTTGATACTGTCACTGTACTTACAGGAACATGAATAAACCAGGCACTGTAATATAAACAGAGACCCTTCCTCCTCCTCCTCCTCCTCCTCACCTGAACTGAAAGTTTATATACCAACCGTTCCCCCTTTCTGTTTTTCTGTGCAGTTTCACTTTTTGATTATGTCCTTTTTCAATGTTTATTTACAAGGAATGTATTGGTGTTATATCTGTCATAAACACAAATGACAACAATAATATCATCAACCTAATCAAAAACAATAGTACAACTATTCCATCTAAATCAAAATTATCACAATTTACCAAATTAGGTTATTTTAAACCTTACCTCTAAATGTAACTGTAAACACAACGCATCACAAATACCTATTTGTTATTGTTATAAAAGACAGCTTGTCATATTGGACTCATTGTTCATTGGTTTGAGTGGGTTGCAGAAGACTTATTAACCTTTTACTGCAGTGGGCTAATTCAGGGTCACACAGAGTGTGAAACAAATATACTTTTGAAAGAAAAGTATATACCTCACACACATGGTTGTGGGCTTAACAAAAAGAAGACACCTGTACCAAGACCGATATAGAGTTGAAATGTATTCCATTTTCGGTTTGCATCCCAATATTACACTTTATATACACCACAGAAGACTGAAACATAACAAAACCGTTTGACATAGAATCACCGGATTTTCGGCAGGTTTTTAAAAGAATGTTGATTAATTATGAAATTCTGAATCATGTTAATAACATTCCACCCAAGAGGCTACTAAGTCATTTGACTGCAGGAAAGGGATAACATCTAAATATACCAGTCTTACTCCTCTCGCAGCATGGCCAAATTGTAAATATAAGCCACAGGTTTGTTTGGAAACATGCTGACGTGTTAATGGGGATTAGAGAGGTCATGCAACAGATTACTGCCAGATCTCATCTATGTTTGGCAACCCCAGGAAGGATGTAACTCAGTTCAAATTAAAATTATCACATTTCCATTGAAACTATTCCAAAGCTTCAGCAGCCATCACTGACAGTACTGTCTGTATGTACTGAAAACACTAACAGTACTGTCTATATACACTGAAAACACTAACAGTACTGTCTATATACACTGAAAACACTAACAGTACTGTCTGTATGTACTGAAAACACTAACAGTACTGTCTGTATGTACTGAAAACACTGACAGTACTGTCTGTATGTACTGAAAACACTAACAGTACTGTCTGTATGTACTGAAAACACTAACAGTACTGTCTGTATGTACTGAAAACACTGACAGTACTGTCTGTATGTACTGAAAACACTAACAGTACTGTCTATATACACTGAACACACTAACAGTACTGTCTGTATGTACTGAAAACACTAACAGTACTGTCTATATACACTGAAAACACTAACAGTACTGTCTATATACACTGAAAACACTAACAGTACTGTCTGTATGTACTGAAAACACTAACAGTACTGTCTGTATACACTGAAAACACTAACAGTACTGTCTGTATGTACTGAAAACACTAACAGTACTGTCTGTACACACTGAAAACACTAACAGTACTGTCTATATACACTGAAAACACTAACAGTACTGTCTATATACACTGAAAACACTAACAGTACTGTCTGTATGTACTGAAAACACTAACAGTACTGTCTGTACACACTGAAAACACTAACAGTACTGTCTATATACACTGAAAACACTAACAGTACTGTCTGTATACACTGAAAACACTAACAGTACTGTCTATATGTACTGAAAACACTAACAGTACTGTCTGTATGTACTGAAAACACTAACAGTACTGTCTATATGTACTGAAAACACTAACAGTACTGTCTGTATGTACTGAAAACACTAACAGTACAGTCTATACACACTGAACACACTAACAGTACTGTCTGTATGTACTGAAAACACTAACAGTACTGTCTGTACACACTGAACACACTAACAGTACTGTCTGTATACACTGAAAACACTAACAGTACTGTCTGTATACACTGAAAACACTAACAGTACTGTCTGTATGTACTGAAAACACTAACAGTACTGTCTGTATGTACTGAAAACACTAACAGTACTGTCTGTATGTACTGAAAACACTAACAGTACTGTCTATATACACTGAAAACACTAACAGTACTGTCTGTATACACTGAAAACACTAACAGTACTGTCTATATACACTGAAAACACTAACAGTACTGTCTGTATACACTGAAAACACTAACAGTACTGTCTGTATACACTGAAAACACTAACAGTACTGTCTGTACACACTGAAAACACTAACAGTACTGTCTGTATACACTGAAAACACTAACAGTACTGTCTGTATGTACTGAAAACACTAACAGTACTGTCTATATACACTGAAAACACTAACAGTACTGTCTGTATGTACTGAAAACACTAACAGTACTGTCTATATACACTGAAAACACTAACAGTACTGTCTGTACACACTGAAAACACTAACAGTACTGTCTATATACACTGAAAACACTAACAGTACTGTCTGTATACACTGAAAACACTAACAGTACTGTCTATATACACTGAAAACACTAACAGTACTGTCTGTATGTACTGAAAACACTAACAGTACTGTCTGTACACACGTTGAAAGGTACAGATTGCAAGTGGCATGTTTGGTTTCTGAGCAGTAAAACGTGAAGGCCTACTGAGAAATATCTTAGCTAGGACCAGGATAGGAAATATCTTAGCTAGGACAGGGAGGAAGACATTATGTCAACAGCGAGCGCCGTTATCAATGGAGACACCACCTTTGACTTCCACATACCTTGAACTGGGAAGCGTTTATGTCAGCGAAGCAGAGATATTGGTAAAAAAATTCATGTCAGAGAAAAGTGCCATTTATATTTTACACGTAACATATAATTATGTAATAAAAACATATGTTTGACTTCTTTTCATTGCTGTGACCTAAGAGAAACGTTATGTCAGCAATCACCCTCAACCTCACCTGAAGAATCTGACAGGGGTTCTTGGAAATGTCTGAAAACCAGGAGACTACTTAGATCAGAAAGTATTATGTGACACTTTACTTGAAGCCTGCAATCGTGATGAGTTATTATGCCTTGAAAATTCATTGTGAGACATGTCATGAACCCCTTTAGAATATCTATAATGCCTTATAATGATCCTCACTAAAAAGCAGCCATTTTGAAGCAGTCGAAATGTTGATACATTCAGAGACAAAAAGTCATAGATCATTATACCTGCAGGCTTTAAATAACAAGTATTCAAATCATCAAGCACAGTATGATTGATGCAAGAACTGAAACAAGTCTAAACACAATACACATACTGTAGCCTTTGGGTGAGAAAAGGTTTTATAGACGTGTTTACATTATAGGTGTTGCTCAATGGAGTGTTATGAGAAATGCTGCCAACCTTCTGTTGCCATTGAAACAGAAGGTTGGTTATCAGTTGGCTGTCATTGTCATTTGCACAGCTTTACAACTGTCGAATGTGTAACTTTACTTAATGACAGCTTTATTGTTGTTGAATATGTAACTTTACTTAATGGCAGCTTTATTGTTGTCGAATATGTAACTTTAATTCATGGCAGCTTTATTGTTGTCGAATATGTAACTTTAATTCATGGCAGCTTTATTGTTGTCGAATATGTAACTTTAATTCATGGCAGCTTTATTGTTGTTGAATATGTTAGCATAAGTTACGTCATGACAAAGTCACCAAGAGTATCCAAATAACTCAGCAGTTAAAGTATAATCTTTCTTATCGTGTTGGCGGTCACTTCTCTACTTGGCATTGCCTGTACTAGCTACCATGCCTTTAGAAAGTATTCATACCCCTTGACTTAGTCCACATTTTGTTGTGTTACAGCCTGAATTAAAAATGGGTAATATATATATATATATATAAATATATATATATTTACCCATCTACACACAATACCCCATAATGACAGTGAAAAACACGTTTTTTTAACTGTTTAGCAAATTTATTGAAAATTAAATACAGAAATATCTAATTGACGTAAGTTTTCACACTCCTGAGTCAGTTACTTTGCAGAAACAACCTTTGGCAGCTATTCCAGCTGTGAGTGTTTCTGGGTAATTCTCTGAGAGCTTTCCACACCTGGATTGTGCAACATTGGCCCATTATTATTTAGTCTTGCCATAACAAAGGGGTTGAATACTTATTGACTCAAGACATTTCAGCTTATAATTCTTAATGAATCAGTAAACATTAAAAAAAAAAACATCATTCCGCTTTGACATTATGGAGTATTGTGTGTAGGCTAGTGATAAAAAATAATAAAAAAACGTCTAAATGTAATCCATTTTTAACACAGGCTGAAACAACAAAATGTGGAATAAGTCAAGGGGCATTAATACTTTCTAAAGGCATTATACGTTGATCTCTTGTGATGATATACACAGTAAGTAACAGAGATAAGAGAAGAGTACATTGGAAGACCTATCACCATTCCACGTTCCTGTGTGTGTGTGTGTGTGTGTGTGTGTGTGTGTGTGTGTGTGTGTGTGTGTGTGTGTGTGTGTGTGTGTGTGTGTGTGTGTGTGTGTGTGTGTGTGTGTGTGTGTGTGTGTGTGTGTGTGTGTGTGTGTGTGTGTGTGTGTGTGTGTGTGTGTGTGTGTGTGTTGTTTGCAAAGGGAACACTCTGTTCTCTATGTCTTTATGATAGGGTGGGTG